AAAACTGATAGGAGTTCTGTGTCTGAAGTTGTTCATGATGCTCCTGGCCCTTTTGTTGCTAGAACAGCCAGATCTTTTAACTGCAAATGATAACTTTTTTCTTTTTCTTTTAACAGAGGATCTCATAGTCTGATTCCATCTCTCCTCCCCCTCTGCTGGACATTAAGCATTTGGCTACCATGGTTTTTGGTGGGGTAGGGGGAGTGTAGGCTTGATGGCTCTGCTTACAGACTCACAACTGAGTCTCATTTTTAGGGCCATGCTCCCTCCCCATCCTCCACCCACCTCTTAGAATTTTCCATGTGCAGATTGGCTCTAGGTACTTTGGGCTGTCTCATCCTATCCTTGTGCCACTCCCTCGTACTTCCATACACTTGTTGAAATTTCTCTTCCACTGGGATGCCCTTCCCTGTCATTCTATTCATCTGTGGAATGAATGACATTTTATTTTATTCCTCTTCTGGAATGTTAGTGGTGTCTTGGGAGAAAGGAAAAAAGTGCCTAGGGTCAACCCTTCATCTTTAAAGTAAAGATGATCTCTGCATTTGTAAAGCGATTTGTAAAATCTTTTTACACGTATTATTCCATTTGAGCTCTCTGACAACCTTTGAGATTGGAAGGGCAGCAGCCAGCCGTTATATCCATCTTACAGAAAAAGCAGCTGAGTCTCAGAGAAATTAAATGACTTGCCCGAGGTTACATTGCAAGATTGGGATGGAGCCAGGATTCAAGACTGGGTGTCCAGGCCCTGACCTTGGTCCAGGGTGTGATGAGGGCATTGGAGGCAGAGAGAGTAGGGCCCAGACACTGGTAACAGTAAAACTTGGAACCCCGCCTAGAGTGTTGCCAGGGCTGTGTTTCCAGAAGGCATTTGAAGCAGTGGCCATATAGGGGGCTGCTCTAGGGGCCTGTGGGTTGCAGAGAGTGGGGAGGGGCAGGGGGCAGTGGGTGAGCCAGGGTGTTGCTGTATGATGGCACCACTCCCTCATACCCTGTGAGCTCCTGAGAGGGGAGGTTTGGGAAAGCTGGAAGGAAGGTTTGCCTTCTGTCAGCCAGGGTGGGAGGAGGAACGCTGCCAAGCTGGTTCCTGTCCCAGGGCCTTTGCACTCACTCTTCTCTCTGCCTGGAATACACTTTTCCCAGATATTTGCACAGCTCGCTCCTGTGTCATTTCAGGTCTCTGTGCAAGGTTCTCCTCCTCAGGAAAGCCTTCCCTGATCACTCAATCTGAAACAGTCACTTCCCCGTCCATTTACCTTGCTTCACTTTCCTTCCCAGTACTTGCCACTTCTTGGCAAGGCATTATTTATTTATTTTCCATTTTCCTCCCCAACTGGTATGTAAGTTCCATGGAACCAAGGGGTTGTTTTGTTCACTACTGTATTTCTAGTTCCTGCCTTATGGAGATACTCAACAAATAGTGAGACTTGATTTGAACTCAGATGTTTCAATTAATTCATTAACTTATTGGTATACTCAACAAATATTTACCATGCATCTGCTATGTGCCTTAGCACTTGAGTTACAGTGATGAGTGCAGGCTTGATCCCCTGCCCCCATGGTATTTACTGTCTAGTGGGGAAGATCAGCAGTCATGATAGTTCATGGATTTTACAAAAGTGGAAAGTATAGGGGGCTGTGAGTGAGCATAGTCAAGGCAGTTCAGTTTAACAATAATAATAACTTATACTTACTGGATGTTTCTGTGTGTCAGGTGCCATGCGTAGTCTTTTATCACATCATCTTATTTAATTATTTTAACAAATCTGGGAGGGCAAGAGACTATTATTACACCCATTTTATAAATGAGAAAACTGAGGCTCAGAGAGGTTAAATAACCAGCCTGAGGCCTCATAGTTAGCAGGTATCGGAACTAAGACTTGGGTCTTAGCCCAAGTCCCGCTAGTTCCAAAATCCATGTATTTAGTTACTATTTTCCATGACTTTTCCTGCAATCACCCCTGCCCCACCAGCCATGTATTCTTCCCGTAGGGGAGGCTTGCCTTGTTTGAAGACACCTCTGATTAAACACAGGGACTCGCCTCTGTAAAATGAACCCTTTTTCAAAAAGGGCTTTTTTTTTCTTTTGAGATGGAGTCTTGCTCTGTCACCCAGGCTGGAGTGCAATAGCACAATCTCGGCTCACTGCAACCTCCGCCTCCTGGGTTCAAGCGATTCTTCTGCCTCAGCCTCCTGACTAGCTGGGATCACAGGTGCACACCGCCATGCCCGGCTAATTTTTGTATTTTTAGTGGAGACAGGGTTTCACCATGTTGGTCAGGCTGGTCTCAAACTCCTGACCTCAGGTGATCCGCCCGCCTCGGCCTCCCAAAATTCTGGGATTACAGGTGTGAGCCACTGCTCCCAGCCTAAAAAGGGTTTTTAAAATGGGTATTTGCTTGTTTTTTGTTTTAAATAATGGACCCCCGTAGGAACCTGAAGAAAGCTTCAGATTCTCCCCAAAGATATGCACATGGGTGGATAGACATGGATTTTGCCTATAACAAAATCAGGGGGTACAGGCACTTCCTTTAGCCCTTCATTGCACCCCAGGGTAAGAGCCATAGTGATAGCAGTTTCTTGGTAACACTCAGCTCCTAAAGGCTGAGTGTTCCCATTTATGATCAAACCAGGACAGCTTCCTTTGAAGGGCTCCTCTCTGCACCAGCACCCAAGACTAACGAGCTTCTTAGTGGTCCACGGCCAGGTGACCCCAAACAACTACAGAATGCCTGGCCCTGAAGTGGGGACTGTGCATGATCAAGAGAGCTAAATCATGGTGCTGTCTTTAAGGAGTGTATGATCTGTCTACTTTTCACAGTTTTACTGTAGAATTACAATCTTTCGAACTACTCAATGGAAAAAGGATCCCATGATCCAATGCTTTTCTTGGAAATTCACAATATATGAGAACATATTAAGGTATCTGAGATGTCTTGCAGTAAAGAAAAGCATTTAACTTTATTTAGCTCAGCTTTCCCCAACTGTATTTGACCATAGGATCCCCTTAAAAAAAAAAAAAAGAAGGTGCATAATTCTTTGCCGAAGATCTAGAGTTCATCAGGAAGGGCTCGCCCAATTGTATAATGGGTCTTGTGATCCATTACTTAAGAAGGAGTGGGTGCTGGCCTGGCTTGGGGAGCCTCCTGGATCTTTCTGGATCTCATGACTCTCACCAGGCCAGAGCCTCACTGGAATCTTCAATGGCAGGGATCCTAGAGAATTCTAGACATTTCTGTAGAATAGGAGAATTACCCACGAAACCAACAGTGAGTTAAAGGAGGAAGGAATTGGGTAGGATGCAAGGAACAATTCCTTAATTGAAATGGGGAAGGGGTAACTAAAGATAGGGGTAGGTAACAGAGATGCTAAAGTGTATCTGTGGCAGAGAGGGCTTGGGAATGTGGACACGGCTCTGAGATTAGGCACTGCTGAAAGAGGAGAGAAACCGACGAGAAGGGTGAGCGACTATTTGAGGTTAATGTGCATGAGGATCTCATATTGGTTACTTAGTGTTTGTGGAAATTTGTATTTTTGATTTGGCTCAGCCGTTCACTTAATAAATATTTATCGAGTATCTATATTTTGCTAAGCACTGTTCTAGAAGCTGGGGATACAGCACTGAAACAATTATATGTATGCATAATTATAAATAAGTCAATGTAAATGTGTAAATTAAAAATGAGTTCTTTTTGCAGGTTTCGGTCAAAGGGAGAATGCTATGTGGTTTAGACATTCCCTTTCCTGAGAGTGCATTAGAATGTCATGATGCTGAGATGTTTAAGTGCCAATCAGCATAAAGCCTGGCGGAGGGTTGTTCAGGGAGAAGGGGCAGTCTCAGGTTTCTCATCTCATCTTTTCTGTCATTTGGAAACCGTGATCTGCCCTTGAGAAGGGAGAAAGAGAAGGGCATACCCTGCTCATGAGCCCTACTGAGTGCTGAACTGTGTGGGTGTTTGATGGGTGTTCCACTGGGGTCTGACTCCCTTTATAGACAGATGTTCCCAAGAGAACTATGCAGGCCCTCGGGGGTGGGCATGTGAGGAAGAAGGTTTCAAAGTGTTTCTGGGATTTGTTTTAATCAGGTATGGTAGGACACGCGGACATGAAAATGACCATCATGAAGTAAGACGTTATACTCACAGAGCCATAGAAACAGGAGGCACACCCTGCAGGGCAGCCCCAGGGCCAGTCAGGAGGCAGCAGTGAGGGGAAAGCGTGGGTGAGACTATTGAGGTTTTCGCGGGAAGGAATGGACAAGGCAGTGTCGGCAGGGTAGCCAGGTTTAGGATTGGCTAGTGTGAATAATTCTGGCAGGCTCTGAGGCATAGGGACTGCCTCTGGTTGTCTGATACCTGGCCCTGGGATGGTTAGGGGAGGGGGTGGGAGGAGGGAGATGGCGTCCTGTCAATGAGGAGGTGGTTGAGGGTGTGGGCTCTGATTGGTTGGTTTGCACATGAAAGGCATGCTTGCAGGACAGTTGTTTGCTGACTAGGTATTAGCAAGGCACCAGGTGCCAGAGCATCAGAAATACAGAAAATAAGAAAATACCAGCTGGGCACAGTGGCTCACACCTGTAATCCCAGCACTTTGGGAGACCGAGGCGGGAGGATCTCTTGAGGCCAGGAGTTCGAAACCAGCCTGGCCAACATGGTGAAACCCCATTGCTACCAGAAAGTACAAAAATTAGCCAGGCGTGGTGGCGCACCTGTAGTCCCAGCTACTTGGTAGGCTGAGGCACGAGAATCACTTGAACCCCAGAGGAGGAGGTTGCAGTGAGCTGAGAATGCATGATTGCACTCTGGCCTGAATGACAGAGTGAGACCCTGTCTCAAAAAAAAAAAAAAGAAAAAAGAAAAGAAAAGAAAACATGATCAATGCCAAGGGCCAGCCCTGGAACTGGACTCGGCTGTGGGAGATCAGGAGGGAGCGTTTCTGGGAATGATCGCACTCCGTCCTACCTGCCCCGCTCATGTGCTCTTCTGTCCTCTACTCCCAAGGGTGAAGCAGTCAGAGCTGTTCGACAGGTGGAAGAGCCTCCAGATGTGCAAATGGGCGATGAACATCTCTGAGGCCAACCAGTTCAAGTATCTATGATTCGTCTGTCCTCCCTTCTCCTTGTATAGTTCTCCTCACTGCCACCTCTTCCAGTCTCCGTCGTCCTGCAAGGCCCAGCTCTCAGTGGGCATCTTCCCTAGAGCAGGCCCTGACTGGGCTGAGGAATCTGAGCAGTGTGGGGGACTGATTCAACATGCAGGCTGAGGCGGGCACCTTGCCCAGGTGCCGTCTTCCACCTTCTCTCCCTCAGTCCTTGCAGCAGCCTTGCGAGGTTGGTGGTGCCATCTCCAGTACACAGCTGAGGTTCACTGAGGCTATTAGCAGGGAAGCATGTGCCAGTGGTCTCTGGCAGGCCTGTGTGAAGGCGCATTACGCGTTCTCTATGGCCTCCTAGTCCTCACCTCCCCTGTCCTGGGGCAGCCACTCTGACCCAGTGACTTCTCTCCTTCTCAGAGCGCTTGAGTTCTTCCAGCCTCCACGAGACATTTGAGCCCTGCTGCAGATTATTTTATAAATGCTGTCTAACCAAAATGAGCAGATTATAAACTCCCAGAGAGGTAAGAGCTGGATCTTAAAGTTCTCCTGTGGGAACTCAGCACATAATAGATGTCCAAAAATTCTTTTTGATGGATAGTAAACTTTAGGGTCTTCTCCATCTCTAAAACTCTGTGAGCTTATGGGATTATTTTAGTGCAGGTAGACCTTATTTTATGGAGTTGATGTGATGTGGCAATTTGTGTCTATGCTGGATTTCAGCACTCAGGTCCAAGTTTAAATGTACTGAGGAGCTCTAAGCATGAAGGAGTCCTGCACGAGAGATTGTGAAAAGCAAAGATGACTAAGCTTTTTCTTTATAAATCGTTTGTTCCAATTTGCTGCAGCTCCAGACGAAATCTAGAGGTAGAGTAGTAGCTTTAAGGGCACATTTTCAGAAATGTGAATGTTTAAAGTGATAACACTTGAAGATCCGGTGCCAGAGGCCTCTGAGAGACTACAAAGACCCAGCAAAGGCCTGACAGTAGTTTGCAGAGACTCACCTATCATAAAAAACAGAACATGAGCTTGAGCAAAGTGCTGGGAGAGTAGAGAATAGATCCATAACCTGTGCTGCCAATTGGCCCCTTAGAAACGTTACCGTGCACACTGCACAGAGGTGCCCCTGGGGGCGAGTGAGACCTGGCACACTGAGAGTATGGCTGATAAAACACTCAGTCTGGACCAGGTCAGTGAGAATCAAAAGTCTGTTGTCCAGGCTTAGGACAGAATAGAAGTCTCAGCAATGGACCAGGCGTGGTGGCTCACGCCTATAATCCCAGCACTTTGGGAGGCCGAGGTGGGCGGATCACGAGGTCAGGAGTTCGAGATCAGCCTGGCCAACATGGTGAAACCCTGTCTGTACTAAAAATACAAAGAAATTAGCCGGGCGTGATGGTGCATGCCTATAGTCCCAGCTACTTGGGAGGCTGAGGCAGGAGAATTGCTTGAACCCGGGAGGTAGAGGTTGCAGTGAGCGGAGATCACGCCAATGCACTCCAGCCTGGGCAACAGAGCGAGACTCCATCTCAAAAAAAAAAAAAAGTCTCAGCAGTGGGACTCACATATCTCAGGAAACATGAAGCAACAGGGAAATTATGTGGCAAGAGGAAAACAGGGATGAGTGTGGGAGCCTTTGGCAGGGACAAGACAGCACAGTGCAGGGGTGGAGCTCTGGGCATGAGGGGTGTAGAGCAGTTTCAGATGTGAGAAAAGGCAGTGACATCAGGCTTTGCCAGGCTCTAAGTGAGAAAACCTTCCAGGCTGGTCATTGCCTCCCTTTGCTCTCATTTCAAGCTCATGAAACAATGATGAGATGCTTCATTCAGGCTGGCAGGAACCTGGTGCCATGAGGGAGTGGCAGGTGGGTGTTAGAAGGCAGGCATGAGCATTCCAGTTACAGGAAAGGAATCCTGTAACTGAGGCCTTCTCCCACCCTGCTGCCTACAAATAGGCACGCTGACATTCTGGTTTGTATATCAGTCGCTCATGAGCTTGGTTAGTGTGAGTCAGTCTCCCTCAATAGGAGTGCTCTCCAGTGGGCTGACAAGACTGAGCTTCTGAACTAGCAAAGCTAAAAGGCCCAGATGCTGGTTTGTAATGCCAACCCATGGCCCTGCCTTGCCAGGCCTTTGGCCTCCTCTCTAGGAAGCCTTAAGTTACATTCTGAAACCCAGCTCTCTATAGGAAATTCTGCTCTCTGTGACTGGGAGCCAGCTGGGCTTCCCAGTGAAGTACCTGCAAGAGATGAAATATAATAAAAAAAAATTATAGGCTAGGCATGGTGGCTCACACCTGTAATCCCAGCACTTTGGGAGGCTGAGAGGCTGAAGCAGGTGGATCACCTGAGGTTAGGAGTTCGAGACCAGCCTGGCCAACATGGAGAAACCCTGACTTTACTTTAAAAAAAAAAAAAAAATTAGCTGGGCATGGTGGTGCATGCCTGTAATCCCAGCTACTTGGGAGGCTGTGGCAGGATAATCGCTTGAACCCGGAAGGCGGAGATTGCAGTGAGCAGAGATTGCACCATTGCACTCCAACCTGGGCAACAGAGTAAGACCCTGTCTCAAAAAAAAAAAAAAAAAAAAGATTATAAAACCTTCCTGGCTTTGGCAAGCTGCAATCACAAGTTACAGAGGATTACAGGTAGAAGAGCCAAGCCTGCATGAAGAAAGTAGGGCCCAGAGAGAGAGAGAGACACCTTCCGGTAGCCTCACAACTGGTCGGGGCAGAGCAGAAGCGAGAATCCGGGCCTCTTGACACCAGGACTGCAACCCAAGTTTCCGTGCCAGGCCTGGCTTGGAGCTCTTCGGAAAGCTCCTCCTCACCCTCTCTTAGTGGCCAGGACTTGGGCTCCATGGAGGAGTTCCGTCAGTGCAGACAGGGGCAGCTGGGTGGGGCTTCATGGAAAGAAACCTGGCCTGGGCCCTGAATGAGTGGCAGAAGGCAGGGGTCTTGGGAGAGGCGTTGAAAAGGGAGGGGATAGCACGAGCAAAGGTGCAGGGTGGGTGCGAGCCTGGGAATGAGTGGGCAGGAGAGGCCTCGGCTCCATGCACAGTGGGGGTGAGCGTGGAGATGGGTGGGCAGGAGAGGCCTCGGCTCCACCCCTCTGTTCTTCTTGAGGCTGTGCTCTGCCCTGCATCATGTCTTTCCTGCCTGTCTCCCTGCCTGGCAGGTCCACTCTGTCCAGGTGCTGCAACGCCCCTGCCTTTCTCTTCACCACCCAGAAGAACACTCCCCTGGGGACAAAGCTCAAGTATGAGGTGGACACCAGTGGCATCTATCACATCAACCAGGAGATTTTCCGCATGTTTCCCAAGGTGCTGCTTTGGGCAGGGGCGGTCTGGGTGAGGCGAGGGAACCGGCCCCTGTAGCCCTCCGTGGCAATGTCCCTGGGGTTTTTCATGACTCACTCACTGTCCTCTGGACTCAGTCGTCTTGGTCCTGGTTGACCAGTTGTCTGAGGTGCAGTAGCCCACCCTCTGGGTTTCTTTGGGGGTTCTGAGAACGATGACTGCCAACTGGCTATGATTTGAGTGACTTTTGGCGAGAAAGTGACCAGAAAATTCTGGGTATTGCATTACTTGCAGAGGATATCCTGCAGATATGGGAGAGAATGACGACACATTTGTCCCCCACCTGAGGTAGGCACATGAGCAGAAACACATGCAGAGGTTGTGAGCACAAGAACGAACCACCCAGTGCAGATCTAGACTCTGAAAGGTTCAGCTCCCTGGATGACCATGGACAGATATTTTGTCTTTCAAAACCTCAGTCTTCTTATTTGTAACACCGGGGTTTGAACTATGAATAGATTTGGCTGATTATAACAGAACATCTAAAATATCAGAGACTTAAGATAGATATTAATTTTTTTCCTTTCACATAAAAGAATTCTGGAGGTAGGCGGTGCAGGGCTGGCACGGTGGCTCCCTGGTCATGGAGGACCACAAAATGAGTGAGCCACAGACCTGAATGGTTTAGTTCACTGACCTTAGCCATTGAGAACCGCAGTGAGTGAGCCACAGACGTGAAATGTTCAGATCACTGATGCTGCGCACCTGCAATCACCTGGGCTGACTGTTGGTGCAGACTCACTGCACTAGTCTCAGAGAAGGGGCGCTGGAACCTGCACTTTCAGCCAGTTGTGGCAATTACCCAGGTGTGGTGGCGTATGGACTCTGAAGAGGAGGAAGGTTGCATGGGTGTGTTCATAACCACATCCAGGAGAGCTCTGGGCCCGGGACAGCACTTAGTGAATGTAGTTTATAGAAATTCTGAGTGGGGGCATGTGGAGGTCTTTTTGGATGAAATCTGAAGGCCTTGGCTGCCTTGCTTCTTGGCTGAGTGTGAAACAAAGCCCAGAGTTCCCTGCATTCTGTGACTGGTACCAGAGTATATAGGTAAGACTCATGCATTCTGGGGATGTGGGGGAGGAGCTGAAGGTGAGCAGTGTCAAATGTGTTCTCACTCACTGTGGCCCTAAGGGAGGATGGTATTGAGCCACCTTTACAAGGTGGGTCTTACAAGGCCTGGAACATGAGACTGGTGACAGCAGGTGACTTGCATCTCACGCAAGTAATGCCAGTGGGTGTAACACAACTTAGTATGACATACAGATCCAAGGAGAGCCAGGGTATGGACTGCTGAAGCTCAGGGACAGACAGCAGGGCTCACCAGACATTCTCCAGAACGCGCCAGGCAGTAACTGTTTTAGGATTTGCAGTTCATAGTCTCTCTGTCACTGCTACTCACCTCTATCATTCCAGCACAAAGCAGCCACAGACATGAATAAACAAATGAGAGTAGCTGTGTTCCAGTAACACTTTCAATCTTATCAGATGCCAAAATTGGAATTTTACATAGTTTTCATGTATCACAAAATTGTTTCTTCTTTGGGTTTTTTCCAACCACTTAAAACTATAAAATCCATTCCTGGCTTGCAAGTTACACAAAAACAGACGGTAAGCCAGATGTGGCCCACGGGCTCTATGTAGTTCGCTTGTCCCTGAATTAAAGCAATGTGACATAGAATCACATTTCCTGAACTTCCCTAAATATAAGTGTCTCTTTGTGTTTGTAAAAAATTCAGCTTCCCAGCCTCCTATCTGTGAGACTCTGATTCTGTGGTGCTGGGATGGAGCCCAGAAATTTATATTTTCAGAAAGTATCCCAGGTAGTTCTTAACTTACAGAAGTTTAGGAAACACCCATATAGAACATAATAAACTTTTGATGATTTTTCTGAAAATGACTGGTTTTTTTTTTTTGTTTTTTTTTTTTTTCCTCTCTCGTACAAGTCTAATAGTGCAGTTTACTCACCCACTGGCTGTGAGATGCCCCTGTTTTCCCTGTCTTGGTTCACTGGGCCTGTCCATCCAGAGAAAATGGACCATGAATAAGGACAGTCTCCCACAGAAGTCCCCCTTAATTTTAGCTTGATTCCTGATGGTCCCAGGGCAGCGTGATTCTCCACGACACCCTGCCTGGCTGCTGGTCCCACCTGAAGCACAGGCTACAGGCCTGGCCCGTTTCATGCAGGACTGCCAGTTGCTGTGTGCCAGGAGGAAAGCTGCCCAGCAGGCCCTGGGCATCAGGGATGGGAGTGGCCTTTGGGGCCATCTAATAGTAACAAGACTCTCGATCACTCTTCCCATCTGTAAAGTGGAAAGCCGCTTTCCTCCCACATTCCCCACAAGGCTGCCTCTTGGGGCCAGGAGCTAACAGGGGTAGGTGTGCTTGCAGAGGTGAGAGTCGCAGGTGGAGGCAGGGGGTGGCTTGGCTCTGACAGCTTTGCCTTTGCCTCCCCCAGGACATGCCCTACTACCGATCCCAGTTTAAGAAGTGTGCTGTGGTGGGCAACGGAGGCATCCTGAAGAACAGCCGCTGCGGGAGGGAGATCAACAGCGCCGACTTCGTCTTCCGGTAAAAGAAACCCTGGCACTGCCCTTGCCACTACCCCGTGGCCCTCCTCCTCCATATTCTTCCCCGGTGCCCTAATGCTACCCTTTAAGCAAGTAATCCCCACTCCCCACCCCTGCAGACCCTCAGGTCTGGGATATCCCTTCTTCTCTCCAGCCCCAACCCTTTGGGGAAGTCGTTAAACTCCCAGGTCCTCAGTGTCCACATCTGCACAATGGGAGCTATGTTAAGAGCAAAGGGCATCACAGATTTGAAGGCACTGAGGACTCAGGAGCTTGCAGCTGTGTTGGGAGGTCCTCTGGGCGCCATCTTCTTGGGTGGGTGCTACCCTTCCAGAAGCACTGGTGGAACCAGGGCACCCTTGTGGCAGACACCAATATTGGCTTTAACTAAGCCAGAGACTGGTCCTTGCACTTCTTCCTTACATAAAGCCCCACTCTTATCTCTTAGTGAATCTTCATTTATATCTTTAGCCTGGGTGAAGAAGGTGGGTTGAAAATAAGAGCTTAAAGCAAAGAGACTTCGGTTGAGTCTGCATTGGGGTCGCAGGAAGCATGGATCCACAATCATCAGGCCACTCAGTAGGTGTCAGGTTGGGGAGGGTAGAGCAGGTTTGGTGTGATTTGAGGTCCTAAAATAAAGGGACTCCTGCATATTTTGGGTTCTTGGATGTCCAACCCCAGCCTCTGTCTCTAGAAGAAGGAAGACTTGGACACCCTGCGTCACCTGCTGTCACAGGCGGAGCATGAGAGACACACCTCTCTCTGTGATCTGGAGTCTGCCCACATGCTCCCTGTGGATGCCTAGTCGAGTCCAGCATTGAAGGTTAAGCTTCCTCCAACACCGAAATCTCTGGCCCTCACTGAATCCTTAGCCCAGCCACATTCCTGCCAGGGGAGGCAGGGAAAGCCTCTTACAAGACGGTCTTTTGGGGAGAAGCCAAGGTCTATGGGGTCTCCCTGAACTTTGATCCAGGCTCCAGCATTGCTAGGCATATGACCTCAGGAATGTCATGTCATCCTTCTGGGCCTTGTTTTCCTCATCTGCAAAATGGGGATAAGGATAGCAGCTCCATCAGTTTTGGGATTAAATGACATAATGATTGTATAACTCTTAGTACCTCCAGCACTGGACACACCATTAGAGCCCAGTTCATGCCAGCAACTGCCCTCCAGGTCCTGTTCCCTCTGGCTGGAATGCTGTCTCCCCAGCCCCTGCATCCTGCTTTGCCAACTGCCACTTGTCCTTCCAAGCTTAGCTCAAGAATCACCCACTCTTTCCCTGGCTAAACCCACTTGCACTCTTTTCTGGGCTCCCACAGAACCTGGTGTCCACCTCTCATGCGGCCTTTAACACCCAGCCCTATAACCAGGGACCCGCTGAGTGGTCTCACTCTTGCAGATTGGAAACACACAGAGAACTTCTGTTTACAGTAACTGATATAATTGGCACAACATAACTACTCAGAAAAATGAGTCTTCAATGAAGGAATGAAGGCGTGAATGAAAGAATGGACCGAAGTGATTTTCAGGGCTAAGAAGTGGAGCGTATAGTGGTTCTGTCCACAGGCTCTGAAGCTGGGGAGCCTGGTTTGAGTTAGAAAAAGCTGTGTTGCTTTGCGTAAGTTACTTAGCCACTACACCTTTATCTCCTAAAATGAAAGATGAGGATGATAATAGTACCTACCTGTTGGGGTCAGTATGAGGAATAAATGAATTAATGTTTAAAATCTTCAAACAATGCGGGACAACATACTAAGTTTTATTATAATGAAAATGTTATTTTAAAATATTCCTCTCATTTTACAGATGAAAAACAATTTTTTGGGAGGGGATGATATTCCTTGCTAGGGTCATGGGGCTAGTCATAGTCAGAAATGGGATATAGTTCTGGTCTTGCATTCTTTCTGTGATATCACATCATTTCCCTAGCTCGATCATATGACAGTAAGCGTCTCCCTCAAAGGGGCTAGTCTCTTGTCCCACCACCTAAGATCTGTTAAGATCTGTGAGAGCACACAGCTGTGTTTGCTAGTTTTGGAAATGCTGTGGGCCCTTCCGTTCTCATCGCCGTCATCGTCAGAGCAGTGCGGCAGCAGCAAAGCCTTGCTGGGTGCTTGTATGTGCATGCCAAGATGCCCTGAGACTCCATCCTGTTATAGGCATGTCCACACTGGATGCTATTGTACTGGGAACGAGACCTGAGCTTGCAGTCAGGCCCGTCCTCCGCCCTGCCTTGACCCTCTGAATGCCTAGTTTCTCATTTGCAACACAGGGAGCCTAATATCTGCCACCCGAGGTTATTGATGGCTCATATAATGCTATGAAAGTTCCTGGCATGCCACAGATGCTCAAAAAAAATGGCAATTGACTGTAGACACCCCTGACTCCCCCGCTCAATCTTTAACGATAATATAAAACCTGCCTTTCATAGTGGTCTGATAGACAGGGGTGTGGTTGGATCATAAAGTAGGTGAAAGTCATAGTCCTGTTATAGAGGGTTCTTCTGCACAGTTATTCCTTAAACCCATGGCTTTCCCTTGACAAAGGGCCACATTCTTCACATGGCCCACCGTCCCTTATAGTCTGGCCCCTTCTTCCCTCTCTGCCCTCAGCTTGTACCATTCCCACCTTGCCTGTGCTCCAGTCACCAGGCCACAGTCACTCCTGGGTGCTTCATGTTCTCATCTACCACAGGACCTTGGCACAGGACCTGTGTCTGGAATGCTCATGAGTTCCACGTTCACCCAGCTAACACCTGCTTATTTCAAAATTTATTATTCATCCATTCATTATGTAGTATTTGATGTGAAGAATATTTGCACCACCTAAGTATGAAGCAAAACAATAAAATGAATATTTGTAGAACAACCACTTGATTTAAGAAGTTGAATGTTTGTATCGAGCCTTTGTATCAACTGATGTGCTCCTTCCCGTTCTACCTCTGTTTCCCCCAACAGGTGTCGCTACCCTGAATTGAGTACTTAATCATTCTCTCATTGTTAAACATTGTTTTGTCATATGTAGATGTACCCCTGAACAATGTATTGTTAAACTATGTTTGTTTGGGGCTGTATTCATTTCCTATTGCTGCTATAAAAACATACTACCAAATTAGTGGTTTAAACAACACAGATTTTATTATCTTACAGTCTTGGAGGTCAGAAGTCTCACTGGACTAAAATCAAGGTGTCTGCAGAACTGCATTCCCTTCTAGGGGCTCTCAGGGAGAATTTGTTTCCTTTTTCAGCTCCTAGAAGCTCCTTGTATTCCTTGGCTCATGGCAGAGCCCACAGTGGAGTATCTTCCAGTCTCTTTCTCTGACTCCAATTCTGTTGCCACGTATTTTCTTCTTCTCCCTGGTTGTCATATCACCTCTTATAAAGACACTTGTGATGACACTGGACTCCCCCAGATAACTCAGGGCAATGACTCCATCTCAAGATCCTAAACTTAATTGCAGCTGCAGAGTCCCTTCTGCCACATAAGGCTGCATAGTCACAGGTTCCAGGGATTAGGACGTGGACACCTTTGGGGGCTATTACTCTTCCTACTATGGGGCTTTCTACAAATGGTGGTGACTTGCTTTTGCATGCAATATGTGTTGCATTTCTAAGATGCATCTTTGAATATATCCCATGTTTATTTAGCCCTTCTCCGGCCACAGGACTTTTGCTCACTTCCTCCTTCAGACCTCAGCTCAAGCATTGCTTCCTCAGGGAAGCCTTGGCTCTCTAGAAAAGGAGATGCTCCCCTGCCACCTGTCCTCTGAGAGCCATAATCCCATCCTCCAGAGGTCCAGGGACTATCCAAGCTTGTAACTGCATTTTACATCTGGTGGTTTATCTGCCCCATGTGTCTGGAACTTCAGCAAGGCCTGTTGGCTGTCCCAGTGCCTGAAAAGGAGCAGAAGAACGACTGTCTTACCACCTGGCCACAGAGAACCCGCCTAGCTGGTTGCTGTTGCATCCCTCTGCCCACATGATCACCATCCCTCCCCTCCCCTTGCGCCTTCCCCAGCCTGACCTATTGAATGACTGACCACCTTGGGCTGCCTCTTCTCTTCTGCAGGTGCAACCTGCCCCCCATCTCAGAGAAGTATACCATGGACGTGGGGGTGAAGACGGATGTGGTCACTGTGAACCCCAGCATCATCACAGAGAGGTCAGTGGCCCTCTTTCTAGAGCTGCACTGTCCAAAATGTTAGCCAGTAGTCACATGCAGCTACTGGGCACTGGAAGTGTGGCTAGTCCAGATGGAGATGTGCTGGCTGTGAGTGTAAAACACACACTGGGTTTCAAAGACTTAATACAAAAGCAGGATAACGTCTAATTAACTTGTTATATTAATTACATGTTGAAGTAATAGTATTTTCGAAATAGTGGGTTAAAGAAAATATAAAAACTTCACCCATTTCTACTTTTTCACATGTGCTTACTTGGACATGGTTAAATTCCATATGTGGCCTGCATTATTTCTTTTGGACAGTGCTGGTCTACACCACCTTCACCTAGAGATGGGCGGGAGAGCTTTCCAGGGTGTGACCAGGGCAGGCAGCTCCCTACCTGGCTGTGTCCAGGTGGTACTGGGGAGAAGCTCACACTGAGATCTCAGCTCCCCTCCTGGCTCCCCTCCTCTCATCTCCCACTGTCCCCTCCTCTTACATGTCCTCTGACTTGGTTGGTGTGACTATGCCCGGGGCTAGGGTTTCAACACTTCCCCTAAAACCTTCCAGATGAACTTTCACAGATGAACTGCATGCTGCAGGGGTACAAGAATGCATCGATGCTGCTGCCCACCTTCTACAACACGCGTAACACGGATGTGTCCATCCGTGTCAAGTACGTGCTGGATGACTTTGAGTCACCCAAGCTGTCTACGACTACCACCCACAGTACCTGGTCAGTGTGTCGCGCTACTGGCTCAGCCTGGGGGTGTGAACCAAGCACATCAGCACTGGCCTCATTCTGGCCACCGCAGCACTGGAGCTCTATGGGGTTCATCTGGACGGTTTTAGGGGAATTGTTGAAACCCTAGCCCTGGGCATAGTCACACCAACCAGGTCAGAGGACATGTAAGAGGAGGGGACAGTGGGAGATGAGAGGAGGGGGTCATTGAATTGGATCAGATGCCCAGGGAACAGCTATTAAGGGGCGGGAAGAGACAGAAAAGTCACCGAGTGAAGGAGTGCTCAGAGACGAGAGAGAGGGCCCAAGAGGGGAGGCTGCTTAATGTAAAGAAATGGGGCCAGGCATGGTGGCTCATGCCTATAACCACAGCGCTTTGGGAGGCTGAGGCCAGAGTGTGACTTGCAGCCAGGAGTTGGAGACTAGCTTGGGCAACATCGCAAGTCCCTGGTCTCTACAAAAAATTAAAATAAAAAAAAAAAAAAGCCAAGTATTGTGATGCACACCTGTAGTCTCAGCTACTCAGGAGGCTGAGGTGGGGGGATTGTTTGAGCCCAGGATTTCGAGGCTGCAATGAGCTATGATTGCACCACTGCACTCCAGCCTGCATGACAGAGCAAGACCCTGTGTCTAAAAAAAACACACTAGTGTGTGAGAGAGAAACGGAGGCTGCAGGAGAAGAAGCTTCTGAGCCAGGACAGGCAGCCGCATTTGGGATTCGTTCCTGGGGATCTTGAGGATGACAGTACAGGTGAATGGAGTGAGGCCTCTAGAGCAAGCCTCCACTCTGGCAACCACTTCCCTGATGAGCCTCCCTTGGGCCACCCTCATCCTTTTGGGTTCAGCATTGCCCTGTCCCCTGCAGCCACACCCTGGATATCTGTCCCTTTGGATCCCAACTGCCCTCTCCTGCACCCACTTACAGAAACTCAGCTGCCTCTGAGAGAGGTCTCATCTTCATCTGCACAGGTGCGTGAGGTGTCAGGAGGCAGGTGGCCTTATAAGTCCCTTCCGTCCTTTGTAAAGCCCCAGGGTGCAAGGGGTGGGGAAGCGAGGGGCGTGGGGGCACAGAGGAGTGGGCGCTCACCTCTCACTCGCGCCCTGAGCAGGTTCCACAAGCTGGAGAAGTGGCGGCGGCCGTTCTACCGCGTGCTGCAGGTGTACGAGAACGCGTCGGTGCTGCTGCCCGCCTTCTACAACACGCGCAACACCGACGTGTCCATCCGCGTCAAGTACGTGCTGGATGACTTCGAGTCGCCGCAGGCTGTCTACTACTTCCACCCACAGTACCTGGTCAACGTGTCGCGCTACTGGCTCAGCCTGGGCGTGCGCGCCAAGCGCATCAGCACTGGCCTCATTCTGGCCACTGCGGCGCTGGAGCTCTGTGAGGAGGTGCACCTCTTCGGCTTCTGGGCCTTCCCCATGAACCCCTCGGGCCTCTACATCACTCACCACTACTATGACAACGTCAAGCCGCGTCCCGGCTTCCATGCCATGCCCTCCGAGATCTTCAACTTCCTGCACTTGCACAGCCGAGGCATCCTCCGCGTGCACACGGGCACCTGCAGCTGCTGCTGATGGCGGCTCACCAGGCTGCCCGGCAAGCGGCGCATTCTCTCCTGCTGTCCCTACCGGTTGAACTGGGAGTCCTGAACCGGGCAGCGTGGGACCTGGCGTTCAGACTGTCTCTCCCTCCGTAGTTCAGTTCTGTACTTGGATACTGGGGTGGGGAGGCAGGTGTGGGAACCGGGGCAGAGTCAGCTCTGTGCTGAGCCTCCTGGCCTGGCCCCCACCGGTGCATCCGCCCAGTGCCTCCACCTGCCCCGGCTAGCATGCTGCTGGACCACACCCCAAGATCAGGGGCCCTGGGGACTGCAAGTGAATAAAGCACATTTCCACCCAATTTTGTCATCCGAGAGAGAGCACAAACTGCAGACCCTTGTTGCAGCTAAAGACAGGCCCTACAGAGAATGGAATCGAGGGCAGAGACAGGACACTTCACAGGACACTTGAGCACAGTCAAGATTTTATTCACACTTTTGGTTCCTGAGTTTTATATCGAGGACTCAGCTATGAATTGCTATCTAAATCTCAGAGCTTAGAGGCCAACCCAGTGACTAGACCTTCCAGTGAAGAAAGTGATCTCAAGAGGTCCAGGGACTTAACAGCCAAGCCACACCACCCGACACGTTCTTCCATGACACACAGAGAGATCTAACGCAAGGCCTGGGTTATGTCTTGGTTGAGACATCACCTGAGAGGCACCACATCCTTTCAGACACATCCTCGGACACACACGCAGTCTTGGTGCCCCCAGGTTCAATCCTACATTAGTTCTTTTGATGAGAAGGAAATAAACCAAACCAGCCACTTGCACTATGGCTTCCAAGCCAATGTTATTGACTCAGTAAGTGCTTAGCGATTGACTTCCTCTTCTGTCTCCCTATTTTCAGCTCCATTTAAACCAGGAGTTATTTATAAAGACCTCTTCCTCTCATGTCTCTGAATCCTGCAGAATCCTGCTGTATCGTGTTCCTCAGTCGGAACCATAGGCTCTGGGCTGGAAAGCACTGACGTGTCAGGTGGTGAGCTTAGCAGAGAGAAGCGAGTTGTGGCCTCCGACACCAGCATCACTGAGGCTTCTGCTGGGAAGACGGGACTTCTCACAGACAAGCCTGGGCTTGGGGCAGTCAGTCGGGCTTAGGCAGAGAGGGGTTCACATGTCATTTCACACCTGAAATTAATTCCCTTTGCTTCTCCCTATGGTGTTTCCACCATAAATGGGACGGTGTCTAAGAGACACTTGGTGAACTGCCTTAGAACTTAGCTTTGTGGAACCATAGGATGTGAGTGCGGGAGGAGGACTTCAGCCCACCTGCCTGGCTACCTGTCTCCCTCCCTCCTTCCTTTCTACCTCCCTCACTTCCTCTTTTCTTCCTCCCCTTAAACATTTCTGGAAAGCCTATTCTGCTTTGGTCTGTGGCGGGACTTAGGAAGACATGAGGATAAACAAAGGCATTATCTGTATCTTCTGGGGATGCAGGGCCCAGAGACTATAGGCCCAGTCCCACGTGCTGGGTGCTCTGGGAGGGTTAGGAGCTGTGAGAATATAGCAGGGAGTGGCTTCTGCTATCCAATCACCTCATTTGACAGGCCCCTTGGCTGAGCCAGTCAGGGATGAGGAGAGCGCAGGCTTTACCCCAGGCCTCCAGGCTCCTGATCCAGGGCTCCATTCTTGGCCAAACCTTTGTGTCTTGGCTTGTGCTTCCTGTGGTGGGTTGTTGTGGAGCCTGTGCCCTGTACACAATACTGTTCTCAATGCTGACTCTCACCTGCATTCTGAGCTCTGGTCCTGGTTGGGAAAACCTCAGGTGGCTCCGAGCCTCAGTCTGTTTAGCCAAGGGGATGAAATGAGCCCAAACACCTGCTAAACCAGGAAGAACTGCAAAGGACAGTGGATGGTTATTAACTTTCTTGAGCTCTGCCTATTTCTCCCAGGGAGGAAATTTCTGGGAAAGTTTCCAGTTAACTGAGATTTCTAGCCACTACATGGTTAATTGAACCCAGTTCTTGAAACCATGGCATATAAAAACTAGAAGGTTCTTAAAGACCATTGTGTTCCACTTAAGGAAGCAGGCCCAGAGCAAATATGTGACCTGGGTCAAGTCACGCCTGGGGCTTTACTGAGTGCCTGTTGTGGACAGAGCCCTCTACTGGAAGCCCTCTGGGTACTACTTATGTTCCAGATGGGCAGTGTTTGGGGGAGGCTCCCTGGTGACACAGACATCAGGATTCCCACAGCCGAGGGTGCTGCAGGTTGGAATCTTCCCCAGCCAGGGCCCTCGTAGGAGCTGGGGATTGGAGCATCAGGATCCAGCCCACAGAGGAGTTGGGACACCTGGCTGCTGGCCATATTCCTGCCTGTGGGTCTTAGGGCCAGTCCTTCCTCTCCCTCCATGTCTCAGTTGCCTCATCTCTACAACTAGAAGCTTTGTAAAAATCTTCAGGGTCTCTACTATCTCCTTATTTTGGGAGGACATTCATGATGAATGGATCTAAGTAATAAGTAATATTTCTTTTTATAATAGCTAGCATTTACCATGCTCTCATTCTGTGCCAGGCCCTCCGTTAAGCACTTTCCCTATATTATCTCCTGTAATCATCATGAGACCCCTTTGGGTAAGGAAGCTTCCATTGTACAGATGAGGAGACCGAGGCTCAGGGCAATTCTGGGACTTGCCCTTGGTCAGGCACCCAATGGAGGAAACTGCACCCACATCTGTAGAGCCCCGAAATCTGTGCTCCAAACCTCTGTCTTAGCTTCCCAGTCAGTGACACCAGAACATGAGGGATCCTGACCAAGATGCCCCGTGCAGGATAGTACGGAGCCCTCCTCCAGGGACAAATGCTCTGGGAGGCTGTCATTGTCCGGGAAGCAATCTGTGCTTATAGGTACCTCTCCCTAACCCTACCCTCTACAGCAGTAGTGACTTACCCACAGTGGCATTGGAGGGGAACTGAGGCCATCATCACATTTTTAAGGTGAGGAAAGATGCCCAGAAATAGCACATGTTAAGTGACAACACGAATGATTTGCCTAGGGCTACATGGCCGGTGTTTATAAGAAAAACATTTTTTCAAAGGCTCAGAGAGCCTGGTGTTGACTCTGGAAGCCTTCTGCCATATTCCGCCACAGCCCTGTCACCACGCCACCATGCAGTGCAGACTACCCGTTGAATCATTATTTAAGGGAAGTCGATTCCCTGTAAACAAAACAACCATCATGGCTTCCTTTGTGCTAAACCCACTGCTCCAGACTTGAAAGGCAGCAAAAACAAGTAAATGACTCAGTGCTTAGCCAAGCACAAAGAAAGGTGGCTCAAGGTCAGAGGCAGCCTCTGAGACCATTTCAGCAACGCTGCTGCGGCAGCTCTGCCCACTAATCACCGGGTGCCCAGAGACAGCATGTGCTCATCGCCCTTGACTTTGTTGAGAGCAGGGAGGAAACAGAGCAGTGCTTAGAAACAATTGAGGCAGAGTAGAGTGCTGGCTTCAGACAGTCATTCGCCAATTTAGTGAGTGAATTGGTGAATAAATTATATTTATTGAGTGCTTATGTTGTGCCAGGCATGGTGCCAGGTGCCAGGGAACTAGTGATGAACAAAACGTCATCCTTGCCCTCTGGGAGTTTGTGGTCTGGTGTGTGTGTATGTACAGATGTTAAATGAAGAATCCCACAAACATACGTGGGAGCTGGTTGTGCTGAACACTGTCAAATCCAGTCTCAGGGACAGTTATCTGGGAGAAGAGGAGGAGGGGATAACCAAAGTCAATTCCGAATTCTGAAGGTTGGCAGCATAAAAAGTGTAACCAGCAAAGCAGCAGATACTTCTCAGATATCATCCTTGACATCCGTGTAATATTTGACAAGGTTGGCCTCTCTGGTCTTTTTTGTTTGTTTGAGACAGAGTCTCCCTCTGTCACCCAGGCTAGAGTGTGGTGATGTAAATATGGCTCACTGCAGCCTCAACACCTGGGTTCAAATGATCCTCCCACCTCAGCCTCCCAAGTAGCTAGGACCACAGGCACGTGCCATTACTCCCAGCTAATTTTTAATTTTTTTTTTTTTTTTTTGTAGAAACAGTTTTGCCATGTTGATGAGGCTAGTCTCAAACTCCTGAGCTCAAGCAATCCTCCTGCCTTGGCCTCCCAAAGTGCTGGGATTACAGGTGTGAGCCACTGTGCCCAGTCTCTCTGGTCTTTCTAAAGTCCTCTCCTCTTCTGTTTTCTAACTATTCTTCCCTGACTTTCCTCCTGTCTCTCTGAATGCTCCTTCTCAGGTTCCTTTGTGGATTCATCTTCCGTGAAGCTTCCTCAGGGTTCTCTTCTCTTCCTAGGAGCATTCCTGCGGAAATCTCATCTATTCACAGCCTTAAGTATCTCCTGCCCTGGCATCTTAACCCCTCTAACCTGTAGGCCAGTCCTCCCTAGGAGCATTGGAAGCATGCTCACTGTGGCCTCCTGCATGTCTGTGTCTGCACAGCATCTTAGACCTCAACATGTCCTCAACTGGTATAGTTAAAAGAACAATCTGAACTCAGAGTCTTCTCCCACTACTTTGTAGCTGTGTGAACTTGGGGGAGCTCCGGAAGGCCCCGGAGACCCTGGACTCATCATCTGAAATGAGGACAGGATACCAACCTCAACAGCTGTTGCAAAGCTAAGTGAAATAGTGTCGTACAATGACTAGCACAGTGCCCAGCACAAACTAGACACTAAGCAAGCACAGGTTGCCTTGGCCCAAAACTTGGATCACCCTTGCCTCTTCCTTCTCCTTCACTCTTTATGTGTATTTGTTCACCATATCTTGTCAATTCCAACTCATAAACATCCCTTTAAGTCATTCCCTCCTTGCATCCCCTCTGCTACTGCCCTAACCCAGACCCTTCTGATGGATCTTTCTGCTTTCAGAGAATAACCTTCCAAAAATACCTTTTGTGGGGCCCGTTGCCTGCCTGTACCATAAACTTCAAGTTCTTTACCAAGTCATGCAGGCAGTGTCCCAAGCTGGCTTACTCACCTTCCCAGAGATCTTCCTGCCATCTCCCTGCCCTATCCCATACTATTCCAGGTGCCTTTGCACACTCTGTTGAAACACTTGGAATGGCCCTCACACTCCTAAGTTCCTCTCTCCTTCCTTTTATCTGACCACTTTTGCAGAAGTCAGGTAATGGCCCCCTGCATCCTCCCCTCTAGAGACCTGGGCTGGGCACTCTCTCCTCTGTGCTTCTGCTGCAACCGTCACCGACTCCGTTAGGACATCCTCATAGCACACAGCATAAGGGCCCCTGTGTCCTTGATAGAAGGTTTGCCTTCTCCCCAAGAGAAGACACGATATCTAAGCTCATTTTATACTGCTGGCACTGGCAGGGAAGCACATGCCGTGGCCACTCAACACGTGTTTACTAATGAGGTCTCTGGTTCCTGGGGGAACTCCAGCAGTTCAGGAGACCCCGCTAATAAACCGAGTAACACCTTGGGGAAATTGTCGGCTGAGGAGAGTCCTCTATTGATTTTTTTACCTAGCACATCCCAGAAGGCAGAGACTCCTCCTGCCTGTCCAGGGGAGCTTGAGGCTCAGGAGACTGAAGTGTCTGTCTAGTGGGGGCTTGTGGGCTCGGCTAGCCTCTTGTTTTCCCTCATTATAATCCTGCTCATCTGCTTTTTGCTGGCTAGCCAATCCTTTCTCCTCTAGTTTAAACAAAAGAAGGGAGAGATGTTTTCTTTGTTTCTTCTCTACTTCTTCCCTTCCTCAAAGCCACACAAACATGTCAGGATCTTACATCCCTGTGGCTGAGGCGCAGCCTGGGAAGCAATGTAAGAGGAATTTATCAACGGTGTTTCAAAAACTAGAGGAGCATGCTGAATGCTTTGGCTGGGAAACAGGTGAGCTGAGCTTTGCAGGATGTCTGCTCTGGATGCCCAGGGGAAGGCCATGAG